CAGGTCGAGGCTGCAGTGGCCGGGAGTGGCCATTGCACTCCAGTCTGGGCGACAGAGTGAGACTCCAACTCAATCAATCAATACCTTTCCTTACATCTACCTCCACTGAGAATTAATCAGAATCATCTGAGGAAAAGAAATTTTCTTCCAGGTCAACAAACTGACTGCCGAAGCTGATGGACAATTTAATAGCTTCAACCACCAAGTCACCCATTACTTAAACATTTACTTAACCCAGATCAGTATTTTTCCAACTCAATGCTCCTCCTTCAAAACTAGACAAGAGAAAAGGGGTTTGTGGTGAAGGCTGGCCTGGGTTCTGAAAAACACTACCTACTTAGTAGAACCTATAATGCTGAAAAGAACATTTTCTGTCCTCTTCTGACACTCTTAAAGTGGTTCAATATCATATACTGAAAATGGCTCTACTGGCCAGGCGCTGTGGCTCATGCCTGTAATTCCAAAACTCTGGGAGCCCAAGAGTTCAAGACCAGCCTGGGGAGCATGGCAAGACTCATCTCTACAAAAAATACAAAAAAATTAGCCCGGCATGGTGGTGCACCTATAGTCCCAGCTAAGGATGGCTTAAACCCAGAAGTTCAAGGCTGCAGTTAGCTGTGATCTTGCCAGTGCTCTCCAGTCTAGGATACAAGAGAGAGACCCCAACGCAAAAAAGAAAGGCTCTGTTGTTTGGCAGAGATGCTCCTTAGCCTTCTCATCATTCACTCCAACTTAAAGCAGATGACTTCTCCCAACCTCATTCCTTGAAGCCAATTTCATGTTAATTGGACTGCTATGGCTTGCCAAAAGAAGCTCAACTAAGACTTCCAGTTCAGCCAATTCTTTGTCCCCATTAAGATCCAGAAAACCATCCGGGCTCAGTGGCTCAGCCTGTAATCCGCACTTTGGGAGGCCGAGGTGAGTGGATTGCCTGGGCCCGCAGGTTCGAGACCCGCCTGGGCAACTTGGCGAGACCTCATCTCTACAATAAATAAAAAACTACCCGGGCGTGGGAGCGCATGCCTGTAGTTCCAGCTACTTGGAAGACTGAGGCGGAAGGATCGCCAGAGCACAGCAGGTCGAGGCTGCAGTGGCTGGGAGTGGCCACTGCACTCCAGTCTGGGTGACAGAGTGAGACTCCAATTCAAAAAAAAAAAAAAAAAAAAGATCCAGAAAACCACAACAGCTGCAACCAGCCATTTCATTAATGCACTCTCAAACTCCCAACTCCCTGGTTCTCCTCACTGCACCAAAGCTGGGCAGGTTACCCCACACCTGCTAATTAGAAAGCATGGCCAGCCATGTGTGGTGGCTCACACAATACCACCAGCACTTTAGGAGGCAGAGGCAAGAGGACTGCCCGAGTCTATGGGTTTGAGACCAGCCTGAGCAAATTGGCAAGACCCTGTCTCTACAATAAATCAAAACATTAGCTGGGCGTGGTAGCCCACACCTGTGGTTCTAGATACTTGGAAAGTTGAGGCAGAAGGGCTGCCTGAGCCCAGCAGGTCGAGGCTGCAGTGGTTCTCAGTATGCCGCTACACTCCAGGCCTGGGCAAATTCCCAACTCAAAAAGAAACTAAAAAAAGTACAGCTGAAGGAAATTCAAAAACATCAGATTGGCTTCACTCCAAACTCATAACTTAATCTTTTCAGTCTACAAAATCTAATGGTTTACATTCTCACAACTGCTTCTAAATTACTCTTAGATGAAGGCATTCATTTCTTCCTCCTTACCCGTCTTCTGTCTTTTCTAACATTTGAATGTGAGTTTTCCTTTTAGTTCTCCAGCAATTTGTCAGCTGCCTCTGCTCACTTCTTTTGCCCTGCTATCAGGTTTTAAGACTATCAGATTTTAAGACCCTCAGCTAAAGATTATCTGCCACCTAAATCCAGGTCCAAGAGTCCTCTCCCATAGGGCATATAAAGCCCTACACAGCCAACACCTAATTAAACCTGAAACTAGCCAGGCTTGCTGGCTCAGCCTGTAATCCCAGCACTTTGGGAGGCTGAGGTGAGTGGATTGCCTGAACCCGCATGTTCAAGACCCGCCTAGGCAACTTGGCAAGACTTCATCTCTACAATAAATCCAAAAATCAGCCGGGAGTGGTAGCACACGCCTTTAATTCCAGTTAATCAGAAGGCTAAGGCGGAAGGATCGCCAGAGGCCAGCAGGTTGAGGATGCGGTGGCTGGGAGCGGCCACTGCATTCCTGTCTGGGCGACAGAGTGAGACTCTAACTCAACAAACAAACAAAAAAACAAAACAAAACAAAAACCTGAAACTGGGGCAAAGATGAATTATTCAGTCAAATGTCACAAAAGCCTCAACTTGAACTCCAAACACAAATATTATATGTTCTTTCTAGACATTAAGCTGTTATTGTGACTTATCACTGTACCCCATTCCTCACTAAATGCCTGTCACGAACTTTGCCACGTGGGTAAAGCGTGAAACAATTAAATGACAAATCAATATAATTTGCAAAGTACTCTCATTGAAAACATGGGTAGGCTGGACACAGTGGCTCAAGCCTGTAATCCCAATACTTTGGGAGGCCAAGAGGAGAGGACTGCCTGAGCTCAGGGGAAGGGTTCGACACTAGCCTGGGCAACTTGGTGAGATCTTGTCTCTACAATAAATAAAAATTAAGCCAGGTGGGACAGGTAGCACGTGCCTGTAGTTCCAGCTACTTGGAAGGCTAAGGTGGAAGGATCACCAGAGCCCCAGCAGGTCAATGCTGGGGTGGCCCTGAGTGTGCCACTGCACTCCAGCCTGGGCAACAGAGTGAGAGACCAACTTAAAAAAAAAAAAAGAAAAGAAAGAAAATGAAAGCATGGGTAGTTTTACCTAAACTAAAAATAAATTTCTGGCTGGGCATTGTGGTAGCTCACACCTATAATCCCAAAGTGAGAGGACCAGCCTAGGCAGCATAGTTGGACCTCATCTCTAACAAAAAACAAGTAAAAATAGATTCCCTCATTATAACAAGATTCTGGACTGGGTTCTGAAAAGTTACCAGCTGTCTGAGCTTAAGATTAAAAAATTGTTTCCCAAAGTTCTTCCAAAAGAAACTTTACAGCCGGGCTCGATGGCTCAGCCTGTAATCCCGCGCCTTTGGGAGGCTGAGGTGAGTGGATTGCCTGAGCCCGCGGGTTCGAGACCTGCCTGGGCAGCGAGACCGCATCTCTACAATAAATCAAAAAATCAGTCAGGCATGGTAGCGCATGCCTGTAATTCCGGCTACTTAAAAGGCTCAGGCGGAAGGATCGCTGGAGCCCAGCAGGTCGAGGCTGCGGTGGCCGGGAGTGGCCACTGTACTCCAGTCTGGGCGACAAAGTGAGACTCCAACTCAAAAAAAAGAAACTCTACAGCTCAACATTTACAGTGCTCCACTTTTTTTTTTTTTTTGAGTAGGAGTCTCACTCTGACTCCCAGGCTGGAGGGCTGTGACACCCTGCTCAAGGCCACTACAGCCTCAACCTGCTGGGCTCAGGCAGTTCTTCCACCTCAACCTTACAAGTAGCTGCAACTACAGGCACACACCACCATGCCCAGCTAATTTTTTTATTGTAGAGATGAGGTCTTGCCAAGTTGCCCAGGTTGGTCTTGAACCCATGGACTCCAGCAATCCTCTCACCTTGGCCTCCCAAAGTGCTGGGATTATTTATAGGTGTGAACCACCAATGCCCAGCCTACTCCACTTTTTTTATACTCACAATTTCCACTTCCTTTTCCAAATGACCAATACAAATTGTAACTGCCCTCTATGCCCAAGGCTTATAATAGCACTCAGCAACTTCAATGTCCCTCTTGGCTTGGATTTTGGGTCTTTCTTCATCAAAGGATGGTAAGTCACCTCAGATGAAATACAAATAAAGTATACATAGAAACAAAGGCGCCCAATCTCAAGTGAAAAAGGCTTTAAAGAGAAGCCTTTCAACCTACAGACTACTTTCCTGGAAGGATTAATTTTGCTGTGGAAATAAAGTATAACATTCTCCATCTCAGGACATCTCCAAATTATATAGCAAGGAAGCACAGTATTGACGTTTTGAGAGTTCCACTTGCTCAAGACACATGTAATAACTTGTAAAGACAGTAAACGGCCACATTCTAAGACTTTTATAGTAAGACAAAAACACAATGTCTTATGTCAGACTTGAAAAACTAAAGATGAGAAGCAATGTTCTATACACATTTAATGTGTTAAACATCTGTGGTTACTGCTATGCGTTTCAGATAATTAAGAGCAAGTACTAGAATACTAAATGAGAAAATCTAAATATTGCACTATAAATTCCTAAAATCTAACAAGGGAAAACTTCCATGGACAAAACTAAACAGTTATACTAGATTTATCAAAATAGGTTTCATTGACCCTGGTCTCAGAACCTCAAAGGTGTTACAGCTGAATTCTTTTTCAGGTATCCAATGTATCCTTAATGAAACAAAATAAAGAGAATTAGTGTGGACATACAAAATCAAATTCAACACTACGGGATTATCTAGATAAAAATATACTTCCAACCCAATTTTTCTTCAACGACTTTAATTATAAATCTTTCATGTTCTCAAAAAGATGGAAAACCAGAAGGCAACAGTCTGGCAGTACAAAAATATACAACTGGAAGAGATTACCAACAACTAAATCCAATTCAGGATTCTGAAAAATGCATGTTTAGACAAAGTACTACACCAGTGGTACTTATACATTTATGTAACTAGGGCTGTTTACCACCTAGAACTCTTCCAAATTACATGGAGTTAGATAGATCACCCTGAAAAACTAAGTCAATGAACCTGTAGTTACACTATTTTGAAACATCATTCCTAATGAGTAAGTACTGTAATAAAATGAATATCCAGATATGGGTTTGAATGTGACCCCCCCCCACGGACTTCAGTCTAATACAGAGGAGATACCATCTACACATATGATCTTTATAAAAATGTCTAAGATACTCAAACATATAAACCACAGATACAGGGTATCTATGTCTAGTGAAACTAAGTTTCTCTTGCTCAATGATGTTTTTCAACTTTCTGTTTAAGACATGGAGGTCAGAATCAACCCACAATTGAGAACTACAGAGCAAGCTAAATATTCTTGAAAGCATAAAATCCATCTATAATCCTTAGATACGTTTCCTTAAATTATCACCAGGTGTTAACAGTGACCTCCCAGTGAACACCTTAGTCATTAACACCACGTCAAATTTGTTTTGTGACTCTTTTTAGAATTACACTCAAACTTAGAAGAGGAACAAGACTAGCTACTGTGACCTGCAATTTTAGATACTCCAGGAGCTTTACAACATCCCAATAGCCACAATCAAAATGTGTAATTCAAGGTTTTAACAATTACAATGCTTCAAATTTTCTACAGCCATAAAAATCGAGCTGGGGTTCCAGTTAATCTAACTGCAAGATTGGACTGCAAATCACTAAGTCAGGATAGCTCCCTGATGAGGTCAGCTTTGTATCAGAATTCTGTATTAATTCTCTATTAGCCACATTAAACCCAACATCAATTGTCCGTTTTTACAGAAATTCTTCCAATTTTAGACTCTGTAAGCAAGTTGTATACTGCCCAAGAAGTCCATATAAATAAGTGTCCATTTAAAGAGCAGTGTAACTGACATACTAGACTGCTTCCTTAACTTCTTAGATCTTGACTTGTTCCTAACAAGACCAGGCTTAAGGCTATGGGAAAATGGCAAAAATCAGGCCCAAAGCCAGGGCTCCTAGTAAATCAACAGGCAGTCTCAAGGGTGCCCTCTGGGAACAAGTCCAACTGTAAGGCTCATACTGAAGCTTCCTGACACCAATTGTCCCCTCCCTTGTTGACTTTTGTGTGAAAAGTTACTAGGACCACTGGCAATAACTGGTTTAGGACCTTAAACTATCCTTACAGATTGAACTCTTAATGCAATGACTTATCTTTCCTATTAAAGACAAAGTACAGGATACCCAAAACTATCTTGAAAGAACTATTTAAAGGAAACTAAGCCACAAGACTGTTGCATTATGATTTAATCTACTTGCACAAAAATTTGAAATTACAATTCCTCCCATTTTCTAAGAGGAAGATTATGCATGCCTCCATATTCAATTCTGCACTGTTACATTTGAACCATATTGTGAACTTTACATGATGGATCAATTTAGAATTCCCATGCAACACCTCAATTATAAATGGAAGCAATTTTTAAAACTGTGGAAAGTTTTCATGCTAAAGATAAAAGCCATTTTTTTAATGGGCAACTTACTTTGGGTTACAATGTACCAGGTTGCTGTTATACTTAAAATGTTGATCTCTAAGTATCATGGACTCTGAACTGGCTTGTACTGCTAAAAAAAATGGGTGGGTAACTATTAACAATCATTTAGGTGACAACTATTTCACTTCAGAAGACTAACCATAGTGCCTCTCGGTTCTGTTTCTTATAAAATAAGAATTGTGTAACCAACTGCTTCCCATGGGATAAGAACAATGGTAACAGTGGGTTCAGCTGACTATTACACAATTATGCTAACTATTTTATTAATTCAAAAGCACTTTACAAGAAAATATAAGTATGGCTTCCAATAGGAATGTTTATACCTGGACTTGGTACCAAGCTCACAGATTTGAGTTTGCAAGGAAAAACAGGCTTTCAAGTTAAACAACAATTTGTAACCAAAACTTTAATCCCAAGGATTCTCACAAAACATATTACAAATGACAGCATTGAAGGAAAAAAAAAAAATCTTGCACAGTAACTCAAAGTTCAGCTCTACAATGTACCCTTAAACTAGCAGGACATTGGTATTTTGAAATATCAAATTTCCAAATGAAGAATATTACAGACAGCCATGTATTTATATACAGCAATCACACAGGAACTTACAACTTAACGCAAAGGTAAACTTTCTTCAAATTTATCAGATTCTATATCAATTCAGCAACCTCTGTCCAGGATAAAAACTAGCTGGATTTTTCAAAAACCTCATTGTTTAATGATGCAGCTTTTATGTTTTCCTGCTGGCCTGTTTCACAGCAGTTTTTAAAGACTGCTTGTTCAGCTGCATACTATATCCCAGCTATGGAAATAAATTTTAGTTAAATTTCTGCCAATTTTGTTTCTAAATTAAAAAAAAAAAAAAAAAAAATCACACTTCAGCTGGGCAGAATTTAGAGGTTTATCACCAGTCTGCATAACTGAAGTTCCATGCAAATCCATTTTTGCTTAAGGGAACATTGTAAAGTAACAATTCTTGGTATTACATGCCTCATATGATCCATTTCAAACCATAGAGTTTGCGTGTCACTGTTCCAAGAGACAAACAAATCTGAACAGCTAAAACATCTTAAAAATGCACCAAACTTATGAAGTCTCAAACAAAACTTGAATTTTCTGTACATACTCCTGTCAAATGAAGTTATTTCCTGTACACCACTTCTCTTGCAAACTGGTCTTCTATTTCCTTTCATTTGACCTAGATCGGCTAAAAAAAAAAAAAAACACAAAACACAACTTTACTTCTGGAACTCAGTTAACAGTGACATCATCAAAACAGATTCTCAAGGTTATCATTTAGAAGAAAAGACCTAAATAAATTATATATGCAAGGTCTCACATAGCTCAAATCATTGAAGATCTTACCTACGAGACCTAGAGAAGGATCGGGACGGCTTATGATTTCTCTCCCGGGACAGTGATCTCTCTCTTCTCCTATCTCTAGAAAGGGACCTAAACCAGAGAAAGAACATTAGAGCCATTCAGGTATAATTATACTCAAATATTTTTAAAGAAGTCTTTGAAAACTTAAAGCTGGCTCATCCTTACACAACCAACACTGGCCCAAGCCTGGGCAAGAGACTCCAGACACCTCCCCCCCAAAAGGTGCACATTCTTAAAATAATAAAAAAAACAAAGTCAAGGTCTATTTCCATTAACCAAAGCATTTGGATAACAGCTTAGGAAGAGCAGAAACTGTCATTTTTGAGAAAAAAATGTAAAGTTATTTACCTGCTCCGGCTGCGAGAAAAGCTTCTCCTTCTTGGAGATCTAAAAGCAGAAACAGGAAAATTAGGCTAATCATCAACTAGTATTTATGGCGTGAGGCATTTCCCAACTTTTCAATTTCACTGTTGGGCCCAGTGAACGTGCCGAAGAACTGGCACCCATCATCCAAAAAAAAAAAAAAGAAAAGAAAAAAAGGGCACAGAAGGATTAAGGAACAAAAAGCTCAAGTGAAAAGCAGTATTCCAACCATGGATTCACTTTAACAAAGAATGCTTCACAGCAGATCTGTCCAATGCAAAACTTCATGTCAAACTAACTTCACTACCCAAACACCACACCAAATTGTAGTCCCAAGTAGTTCCAAAAACAGTACCATAAACCAGTATTTGGAACCCATGCAAACCTATAAGTCCATGACAAGACTTAGGTACCAGGTGGATAGTGTAACTCTGTGAAAACGCGCTAGGTGTAAATATCGATGCCATTAAGTGCTACATTAGAACTGATCGTCACATTTAAGAGTGTGTTTAGGCTTAACAAAATTACCTTAGCTTGGCCCACACTTCACCCCCAAAATTTTGAACACTGTTAGTAAAACCATTTAAAGGTGATAGGATTCAACAAAATTTTGCCAGAAAGGAAAGCTAAATCTGTTAGAGATATTAAAATTTTTAGTTTGGCATCTCACACATGCAAATAAGTTTCACTTGAATGTCTAGTTACATTATGAGCTCCCTATCACCCTTAAAAGTTTTTTCAAGCAATATATATGTACGTTACCATTCAATTATGCACAGCCAGCCTTTGATCCAGAAAAAAGAATTACTTTAAGCCGCTTACTCCTTATTTTAACCAGCAGTAAACTGTATAAGCAGGAAAAACTTACTAGTTTTGGGTTTCAACAAGCTAGAAATGGTGAGGTGAGGCTGCCGGACTGACGGCCAGGAAGAATTTGCTGAAAAGGTTTTGCCAGATGTTGCGTTGGATTTAGTTGGTTGGCGAAGGGGGTGTTGTGGATTTTTCCTGCTTTTTTGTTAGCCGAAGGCTGCTGCTGTAGATGTTGTGAAGACATTTGGTAAATAAACAGCTGAGCTGATTGGCCAGGAATGTGTGGGCGGTCGAGGTGGCTGCTGCCGATTTGGTTAAGGTTGGAGAGAAGGCTGAGAGAAAACAGCATGCTCGGGAACCAAAGGGCGGTGCAACCTGACGACTGGCCAGCCTGGGTCATGTGAAACGACACCAGCCAAGCTGAATGGGGCGCGCTGGTCACATGACGCTGAAAGGGCTAGTTGACTGGCTAATGCAGATTCAGAGGGTGGTGAGAAGAGACATGATGGTGACTCTGTAACGGGGTTCATTTTTATTAATAGATGGACCAAAAAGCACAAAAAAAAATGAAAAACAAGCCATCAGTACAACCATCTATTAGCTAACAAATACTCTTTTATTATGATGGGCAACAGTGTGTTGTTGTTTTTCAAAATAGCAAAAGGGGCAAGATTTTGAACTCCTATCTCCTAGAAGGACTTCACTCACCTGTAAGAGGTAAATTTAGTCCTACAGAAACTACTGGAGGTTTGAGGAGATGTGGAGTTAGCACCCAGACAATACTGCCTGGTCCAAGAATGATGTCATTTCCAATTATAAAAAAACTGAATTCTCTCCTATTTGGGATTGAAGAACAGATGACTGGGATTACTTCTTTTTTAGCCCCCTTTATTGGTCAGTGACTTAAGTTAGTTTCAGAATGATTTCTACTTTACCAGTTGTAACATTAAAACAGCTGCCTGTTTGATCAATATTACAATTGTGCTAGTAGTAGAAAACACATTATTTGTGAAGAGCTAGAGTTGAATGTAATGTTTGTCATTATGGAGTCAAGAAATGGAAAAAGGCCTAAACTGAAGTATAAGGGAAGACTTGGAAAGATGCAACTAGAAGATGAACTAGAAGACAGATCCAAGATAGAAGTTACTGACTACCAACATGAACAGTGACCTAAAGACAAAAGCCAACACTCAGCACAACTCACATACCCCAAACTACACCCAACAAATATTTCATAGAAACCTTTGATTCTTCAAAGTTTATAACCCACCAACAAACTTTTTTAAGAGAAACACCTGCTCCTACTAGCTACTCCATCACACGGATACCTCTAAACACACTCACTCTCAAGTACCTGCGGCGAGGTGGAGGGCTCCTCCTACGATAGTCATCCCGAGGACGACGACCCCAAGAGGGAGGTGGGCCACGATTTCTACTTCTTTTCTCACCATTCGACAGCTCCACTCTTACACGGCAGCCACATAGCGTTCTATAAAGGGGAAGAGACATCAAATGTAAAACAGTCTAACTTTCTGAGATGCGTATTAAAGCAAAAGGTGCTTCCAAATTAGCTACTTTGCAAAAACACATCTGAATGCCTGTACAATTTTTTAATACCAGTTTCAGTTCCCTCATTTTTACTACTCTAAAACAATCAATCTTGTCTCTAGTTTTCATTTCAAATTAAATGTGCAGTTTATTTTGTTTTTGTAGAGACAAGGTCTCACTATGATGTGCAGGCTGGTCCCAGAACTCCTGGCCTCAAGCAAACTCCCACAGTGCTGGGATTACAGGTACGAGTCACTGTGTCTGGCCTAAATGTACAATTAGATGTGACTATTTTTTTTTTTTTTTTTTGAGTTGGAGTCTCACTTTGTTGCCCAGACTGGGGTGCAGTGGCCGCTCCCGGACACCGCAGCCTCGACCTGCTGGGCTCCAGCGATCCTTCCACCTCCGCCTTCCACCGTAACTGGAACTACAGGCGCGCGCTACCACGCCCGGCTAATTTTTGATTTATTGTAGAGATGAGGTCTCACCA